ATAAACCGTAGCAAAATTCAAGGGTTCATCATGAACTCCTGGTAATGAGAACTCCATCAGGATAAGTTTGTGTAAAAATTGTTCAGCATTAAAAAATACTAATTTAAAAACAGAAAATCTATGTGACTATTATGTTGGAAAGAGCAACCGAAGAACCAGGACATTAACTCTAAGAATTGTAAAAATATAAAAATTATGAATGTGTTTATTAGTGTACTTACAAAAATAGTTTAGTAACAAGATCTTTCGGCTTAGATGCAGGACTTCGTTCGTTGATGACAGCTCAGCAGCAGATAGCAGGAGAGCAATGCGAAAAGGTTGATCAAATTGGTTTTTATGGTAAGCGTCATCAAAATGTTTTTTATTCTGGTATAAAGTGGACAAAATAAAAACGAAAAATTGATGTGAAATGTATGAAGTGCTGAAAGGAAGCTGCTCTAAGAGAAGATTTGAGATGTGGCACTTCATTTTAGATCCTTACATCTATCCTACACAGACATAGTTCTGGAAGAGCAAGAAAACAACCATCAACTCAAAAGAGAAAAACAAATGCTTCCGTGGAATTTAGCTTCTTCATACTATGATGATTTATAGATGTGTGTGACTAGTTGTTATTTTAACAATTCTAGTTTTCAGGCCCTCTTATTCATCAACTTTTTCTATTTCTCCTTCATTCTGCCACTTTTCATCCCGTGAAGACATAAAAATGCAACACTAACAAATGCAATATTAATATTAAGAATTAGTTCCATCCAGAGGGAATAATTAAAGAAATGTGTGCTTCTTTAGAACGAGTGGAAATTTGCTCCTTCCATTCTTTCTATTACTTGCACTGATTCATTCGATATGGCACATCAAATAGAAGTTTATGCAAAATTCATTTATGAGAAATGAAGAAAATCATTCCATCCTATTCTCTTTGAAATAAAATAGTAAAAATAACTTTTATTTAATTTTTTAAGACTCCTACCTGCACGATTCTAACAGCTTTTTTTTCTGCTTTTTCATACTTAACTTTGAATATTAGAGAGTGAATTATTTCAAAGATTGTTATAAATCAAAGAAAGGGAAAAAAGGAAGAAGAAAATAGCCGTTTCTCAAAGCTCAAAAATTCTAAATTATGAAAGAATCTTTATCACTGTTCAAACTACAAAATATGGGAAAAAAAAGGAAAGCTTAACACTTTCTTCCTCTTAAACCATTCATTTCAGCGTTCATAATGAAATCTTCGATCACGCAAGAGAGTTGGCTTTGGTGGAAGATAATAGAGTTTACGTTGACATATCGGCCGCCTCTCTTGGTGAACTTTCTGCAGTTTAAGAGATGAAAGATGATGAAAATGAGCAACTAACATCGCTGAAACCATTCCAATAAAATAAAAATCAGAAAGTAAAAAGTGATATGCACCCATGTATTCCTGGAATCTCTTAATTTTTATGCTTGCTGATCTACATTTGTCGATAATAACGCTTTCCAACTGAATCCAAAGCAAAAAGTTAATTATATCTTCTTGATAAAATACGCTCAATTGAAGCTTCATTACTTCTATTGGTTATTTTTGCTTTAATAGTCCGATTTCACTGAGCAAATATCAAGGACGTGACATTGTGAAAACTGGATTATGTTACTGACACCCAGGATGAAAGTGCCTTGAATAAACTTATGTAAAACGTGTGTTTAGCATGTTTGTCATTACTTAATGGATAAGGTCACTGTTTTCCAAACGGGTTTTAAGCTCGGGCTAATAAGAAATTTAAAGATCTTGCTAAAAGACTGGTTTGTTTGTTAGGTTTTAAGAGTGTAAGGCAATCTTTTAAACTTAAAATGTGTTTTTTTAAAAAAAAAACAAATAATTTTCGGTCAAAATATCAGGTAACCTTTATAGTTAGAATTACGGTCATTCAAAATTTCGTACAAAAGCGCTATTAATACTGCATGTATTAGGCATAGAAAGGAAGTGAAAGCGATGTCAGATAATAATTAATCAAGTATACAATAATTGTGAGTTATAAATAACGAAGAATGACACTTCACGTGATAGACAAATGAGATGAGGAGATGCAAAAATAATGATTTATAATTTATTTCCGAGTAAATAAATGTCAGCCTAATACTTCTTTTAAAATTCAATTATCTTTATTTTCTGAACGAAGTGGCGCAGAAATGAGGCTAGAAAAAAAGAATTGGAAAGGTGGGCGATAAAAACAAACATGAAGTAATCGTATGAGTTATAGTTATATCATCGTTTTCTCAGAGCTTCTTTCCTCGGAATTTCATTCACGTCAAACTGTTTGCCTGAAGGAAGCAAGAAAAGAAAAATTTGCATCTGCTGATTTCTCCTTAAAATGTATTGAACATTGTACTTTTTTTCAAAATTTTCATCAACTATACCTTCAGTGTTTTGTGTAGGTGCAATTATGCATATGCGGATGGAAGAGAAGATCTGACGTTAACGTACTAGATCAAAAGTAGATAATTTTCATATTTCAGTCTAGAAGTCCCATTACTTTAGCTAGAGAATCCCTTTATTGAGGTCGTAACTTACATTATGAAAAGTGTTCAAATGCAGTGAGCCGAAGCGTTGGCAAAAGCAGTTTTTTTGATAAAGTATTTTAACTTACGGTTGCAGCTAAGTCGGAGTAAATGAAGTTTAAAGCAAAAACACTATTTTAGATGAATTTATATGACCTAAACCTCGATAACACATTCTTTTATATGAAGTTAATGTTCAACTGGCTAAACAATCGACATTCGGTTGAATTTTAGTTAGCCTACTCGGAGAAATCAGAAAGCGTCACAGGTAACGCGTAAAACAAAAACTTTTCCACTTTCTTATATAGCGCAAAAATTTCTTTCCAATTCTGATAGGATGGTACAAGTAAAATGCAGTGGTTGTCATAAGACAGAGTCTGATTCAGGTAGATTGTAGCTTCGAATAATTATTATTTTGCAGAGAAGACGACATTTGAAAAATGTTTATTTCAATGAGATAAAAAATACCATTGACCATAGTTATAGAACAATATTAGGAGAGCAGTGAATGACAGATTGTTATCTAGAAAACTTAACCTCAATAAAAGGATATAATTCCTTATACAGTAAGCATTAACTGATAACAAGACGCATGATTTGAAATATCGCAGAGGAGGTCAGCTAAACGATGCCAAATTCGAGTATAATTTACAGTTAGTAAGGAACCGACAAACAAAAGAGGTCAACTAAATGAGGAGCTGATCCAGCACGTGTTCTTTGTTAACAAACAATGCAAGTTAAGTAACAATGTAAATAAACTCAGCTATATGGATGATGAATATTGGATAAATGATTTCTTACGTGACACTGAGACCTGAGACATTTGTCCAAGGAATGTTCAGACAAGACAGTCTTTAATTCTATGGATTTAATATAATTTTATTTATAAATATTATAATTTCCGACAATGGTTCAGCTAATATCAACTTTCGCAATGGATCTTTTGATTGAAATGATTGCATTTCAACACTGAAATGTCGTTAAACTTTTATTCTGCCTAGTTTTTTTTTACTATAATCGAAAACACTACAGCTTCATTTTGAACCTATGTTCGCCGGAGCTTCTTGACTTAGCTTCGAGAGCGAAGATTTGTAAAGGATCTCCTGCTGACGTTGCTGTAAACCTAAAAAGATAGTGCTAAGTTAATCCGGTTGCAATGCGCAGTAGAAGGTCATAATGGGTAATGCGCATCTTTTTTCCCTTATCTTTTGGAACAGGTCCTATGTATATGTAGCAATAGTATGGATGGTATACCATCATGTCTCTCGATGTGAGGCCAGAGTTAAACACTGATGGTATTCAGATGTCTAAGGCTGACTGTTTCAAAGAATTCCTGTACTCTTTTTTGGGACAGATCTACTGCAGTAAGCGTTGACGAGTTCATCACAAGTAATAATCTTCCATCCTGAAGAAGAGATCTGCCCAGTGTAATTATTTCTTAGGTAGCATTACATTTACACTAATGACTTCCACGTATTCTAGAACGATAATATTGATGATGTTTAAGATGGTGAGAAAATAAAGTTGATTAAACTGTTCAAGCAGTGTTTTTAATTCCCTTGTGACTGAATACAATGGTAGATGATCCATGTACAGAAGGGTAGCCAGTATGATGGTTTTGTAGATACTAACCTTAATGTTTTTCTTCGGCTGTTCGGCTGTTTATTGTTCTATACTTTTTATGAGTTTTCCAAATACTTTATATACACCCTCGTTAGCCTATGTCAATCTTTTTGCTATTTTACGCGTCCGAGGAAATCGTACTTTTTATATAGGTAAATTGTTGGACTGATATAAGCTTTAATAAGTCTACGGTGATAAGAGAAGGATGATTATCTGTAATTTCTGCAAAACAAGAAGTAATGCACTACAAAGACGCTTCCATGGGTAACATTTTTTAACAGAGAGAAATTCTCGTACAAGGTGATCTGAAATTTTGGCATTTGCTTCCCTTGTGATTGAATAAGCTCCGTCGTAGGATATGGAATGTAAATACCTTTATTCATCATCGAGCTTTGTCGTGACACCTTAGAGCATCACGGTGAATACTGCAAACAGAATTGATGTGAGAACTCGACGCTGTTTTCACGCTGTTGATTATCAGAAAGGACTCAGAGTGAATTGACATATCTGACTTAACCGGTCATCCAACAGGGTGAGTCATCTTGAATTTAGGAGGCAGCTTGGTCGTTTCAAGATTTCTCATAAGCCTTTTTTGCTCATTGTGTTAAATGCTTTGATGAGGTCAATGAATGTTCTATAGAGTCCTCCGTCCTGCTCTGTGTACTTTTCTTGCATTGTCTCAGAACAAATATGTCATGTCCTTACTAATCTTGAAACCACACTGGATCTCAGATAGAACCTCAGACGCAATGGTGCGTACTAACCTATTTACAAGTATTCCGTAAGAATTTTGCCGGCTGCAGACAGCAAAGTCGATACTTTGAACAGTCGAACTTTGCTTCTTTTCATGCAGGATGATGATTGCGTCTTGGAGATCTGTAGAAAGTTCGTTTCATAGTAAGCTTGTGAAATTTAGCGTGGAATACATGGTCTCTACGTCTCCAGATTTCGGATGGAATTCTACCAAAACAGATGGCTTGCCGGATTTCATCCGCTATAAAGGCTTTAAGAGTCTCCTCCAAAGTGGGAGTTACATCCACTTCATTTCCACCGACTGTTGCATGAAGTACTGAATTACTGAAAACTTGAATAGTAGATACTGAGAGACTGAAAGTGTTCAGGTCATAGGTTTGGAATAGAAAGTTTGTCTGTGAGAAGGAGGCAATTATCTGAGCTAACAGCAGAGTTCTGATCTTATGTACTGCACTACTTGTTTGTGATCTCCCGAAATTTTTGTTAAAGCTTAATGCATGCAGAATGAAATTTCCTTTGCAAGACAGAATGTGCCAGCGAGGTTTACTTGATCAGCTCTCTTGTTGGATAGCAGTTCCTTGATTTATAGACTGTTTTCACCAAACTAATCTTCGGATTCTTTGATAAGATCCAAATATTTTGCTGGAGAAGACTGCTAGTCGAGGATTGACGGATGTCGTTTTGATGAATTACCAAAGTGCTATAGAAGAGGATCTATGAGATGGATTGCAGGTCTGAAGATAAGCCTGAAAGTTGTCCCTCATGTGAAAATTTCAGGGTATCCACTCTGAACCTCTTTCTTGGTTGCCTTTGAAAGTCGAAGTTACCATTCGATATGACACATATCGCAAATGCATCTCGGGCATACTAAGACGTAGCTGATGATGCATCCAGGCTGCTTTGCATTGTATTTTTGCTGAGTTATCCAGTGCTCCTATCCGAGCTGCAAATCTCTTCCCTACTGAAATAACCAAAGATTGCGATCTTATCGTCTGCAGATAAAGGCGAAGGTTGCCGCACAATGTGGTTTTCTTTTGCAAAATAAGCTTGAATAGTTGGGGCATATATGCCGAGAGCGATAGCATGTTGCTTGTTTTCACTGGGAGGCATAGGAAGTATCACCAGGATGACCAGTCGACAAGTTAATAAATTCGAAAGTGCTTCAGTTATTGACCATTAAGCTAATCCTTGAATAGGAACATTTGATTTCCTGTTCATCTAACCAGAACTGTATGTAGCCAGTACCACTTTCTTTGAGACTTCATGCACACGAATTTCACTGAGACAAACCGTGAATACTGCATTGTGCTAGTTCGTAGGCAATTATAGCAAAACGACACTCGATACATCCCATTATCGCAGTGGTGTACTAACACATAAGAGCCAATTTGAACACGTCTTTGGAGGTAGATGTATACTCTTGTTTCTTGTTCTAGTTCGACTGCAGCAGAACATGCTAGCCAAGCAAGATTTTTAACATCCCAGTAAAAAGTGGAAATCAGCTCTAATCAGACCATCTATTCGCTCCTCCACATGAAAAAAAGTTTAGTTATTCAAAATGCTAACAAACAAGATTGCCACCTCAGTAGACAACCTTGCGTGACCTGGACCATTTGCATGCAGAGCTGAGTCGCGGGCTTCCAGTGCATCTTTAACCTACGCTTCCGCCTTTTACTGTCACTACAGGACTTTATAAAACCGGGTATATTTTTCAAACCTGCGCAAAGGCTTTTTTAAATGAGTCGCATCATGCATGAATTGGTCCCACCCTTTAAACCTGAAAATCTAGCAGATTTGGATAATGGCAGAGAAATCCTCCGCTCATAGGTTTGTCTGAAGTATCCTCCTCATAGACGGACGGCTTTGCTTCATTCTACCTCGGTTGAAGTCAGAGTCACCCTTCTGAGATGGCTACTTTAAAGTTGATGAGCCTACCTCCTCAAAGCCACACTTTGTCTAACTTCCAGTTGAGACCTATCTGCTTTGGAAGCCCTACCTGAGGCATATGCTACCACTAGCAATTTCACAAAGGCAAGCAAGGTCCTATTCACGACAAAGTTGTGTCAGCAGAAGCATCGCAGGAACTACCATCAACATGATTGCAAATGGTATATATGACTTCGAACGTGAATTACGCACTGGATCTTCCCACTGTACAATTGATATAAATCTTTAAGGAATGTTATTACAATAAGGAAAAATAAATTAATTATCACATTCTTTTAATAATTCCTTCAAAGCCATATTTTCTTTCCTTATTTGCATCCAGTCGTTAACAATACACTCAAGTTTTTCATTTATGTTCTTTTGATACTGCGTAGCAATCTTCAATGAAAAGATTACATATCTTGAACAGGTGACATTTAACAAAGTAATTAAAAATTTCTTCACCTTATTTCTAGGAACCAAAAGCATTACTTTAGAAAATGGTAATATTAAAGGAATTGAGCGAAATACTCTACCTGATCGTTTAGTTCTTCAATTTCTCGTTCAATTTGTCCAGCAGAATCAATGCCAGTGATAACACAAGAACATTCACTATGAATTTTCATCAGTAGCATGTATGCTTTTTGCATAAATGTATCTTTCTCAACGTCCTGTAATGTGCATCTGCACTTAAGATCTCAAATGGTATCACAATACATAAATATATCTAAAATATACATATTATAGAAGACTTTAGTAACAAATAATGCAAAAGAGATACTCTGTACAGTTTTCCTTCAACTACGGTGAAAGAACGTTCCAGTTTTCCTGCATTCGACTTGATCTCTCTCTGAAGATAGAGATTTTCTGCAGCAATCTATAAATATGGAGAATGTGTCTAAATAAGCGATAAGACATTTTTTGATCCACTGAACTTTTCAGCTTTCCAAATAAAGACTTTAAAATTTCTCCATTACGTGTATGCAATAAATACGATAACATTAAACAGTATTACTGGGGCATACTCCGTTAATTCCTTATACAGCATCACTAGAACATACTTTGTTAATTTCGTTTTGCTGCTTCCTAATGTTGCCAACAATATCAAATATGTGTTTCGTATAAATATTTCGATTAATCTGTTTCTTTTCTCGTGACTCGACCTCTTTTTTCTAAAAAGAAATCAATAAAATTGATCCAAACTTTTACTGCCGGTATTTAAAATGAACCTACTTCAGTGCAGCGAAACCAACCAATTTCTCTAGAATTTTCTTTTTATCAGCAAGTTCATTCTCAATCAATTTCGCATCATTGGATGAAATTTCTCGACTGTAGCACGGAACGGTGAAATCCTAAAACAGCTTCAGTTTAATTTTTATAATCATGAAATTGAAATTAGCTATTTAATGATTCAATGTCACAACGTACTGATGATAATGATAATGCAGCAGTTAGCTGTGCTCTCTTCACTTCTTCATCCTTTTCTGCTTTGGCTTTCAACCATAAATTTTGAAGATGCTGCATCCGTTCATTACTTCCATCAATATAACTCTGAAAAAGTATATTTAATCACCCTCAAATATGCACTGCAATAAGAGATAGAATGTGTAAAACAAACCTCAAGCTTCAAAACAGCATTTGGATTTTCTAATAATTTTTTCAGCCGTCCATCAACTTCAGCCTCTTGAAACTTTTTGTTTCGTAAAATTAATAATCGTTCACTCTCATCGTTTTGCATCTGCAACAAACTGAATTTAACTCAATTAAACATTCTTTGATTGTTACATAAAGAATAAAACATAAAGAAAAATAGCCGAAATGTCTATTTGACTAGTAAAAAATGAATATTGCAAAAAAATATATTACTCTCCTGTTGGAAATCTTCTTACGATCTACATATGCTGTCAAAGCCACAACTTTACTAAGCAGTTCGTTAAGGACTTCATTTTTTTCTACATCCACTTCTGGATCAATTTCTTGTTTATCCTTTGTTTTTTCCTTTTGTAGTTTTAGAGAAATAACTGGTTTAGGTTTCAATCTGAAAATGCCAAAAAAAGTTCCGAAGACGTTCAATCATAAATATCTTTTATCGTAGTGTAGTAGGGATAAATATCACAGGCTTGAAAAAATTGAAAATACGGGTTTAAAAAACCGAACAAAACTTACTGTAGTTTCACTCCCTCGTTAATAAATCTAAGGTGCAAAATTTCTAAAACTCCATGTCTAAGTGATTGATAGTTTTGTGTCTTAATTTTGTGTACGGCATTGTTTTCCAACAAGGAACAAATAACTGCATAATGACGGTATCGCCAATCATTACAATGTAAAGCTACCATAACATCACCAGAGAAACCTACGAAATCGACCCTTGTCGATATAGCCTAAATCATTTTTTGAAGAACAAAAGAAAAGCTATTTAAGTCATAGCTATACAGTACAAAAATTTATGGTGGCATCTATCCATACTTGCTTTTGAGATGAACTAAACCGAGTAAGAAATCCTTCCTTATCTCCATCTTCAAGGTTAGCTGATCGCATTAGGTCTTTCAATGGATCTGTAATAATTATTCTAAATTATCGAACAGGAAAAATGTAGTATTTAAAAATCTGATAACAAATATGACTTTTAATAAATCCTTTGGGAAGAAAATGTTTAAAATATGTATACTGATGTGACACAAAAATTATTTTATAAGACATGCCTTCCACAGAAGTAACCACGGAAGAATCTTTGGGCAATTTTTCCATGAGACCAATAAGAATATTACGCAACTCTCTGCTTCGTCCATATAGCAACATATGATAATCTATTGGATCACGTACACCAATGCTCTGCAGAAAATAACTTCAACAAGAAAAAATCTTTACTGAATCCAATTTCAACCGGAAGTTTTTGCTCGACACACTTCTATTTGAAAAAGTTTAAATTTAAGTCTCTCTTTGAGTTACATCAATATATAAATAAAACTAAAATTTGCCTTCACTGCATCGACAACAGTTGTAACACATCGAAATTTCGTAGACATATTTTGGGGAAGAAATCTTGAAGGAATTTCTTTCCTGAAAATGCATAACACTTAACTATTGCATCTTATCTAGCTAAGCAATTCGTTATTGTATAAGTGATTAATAGTCGACATTACTTTGTAGTTGGTCTGCATGACCATACCAGCATTACGATAGCTTGATAAAAGATATCTGTGCGAAGCTCTGTAATACTGCTTGGAATCTCTTGTAGACTATCAAAAAAGTTCCTGAAATCGTGGTACTGATTAATCTATGCGTTCAAGTTTCTAATAAAAACAAAAAGAATTTGATGAAAGGAAAACGAACGGATCAAGACGACATAGTGTATCAATAATTTGACCGTCAACGACGTCCATGCTTGCTGGGTTACGTCCAAATACCAAGCGCCACTAAATGTCCAACTTTACTCTGCCATAACTACTCTGTAAGTCTCAAATCTTCGTTATTAGTATAACAACCTCTAGCATAACAGTCAATTTAGCTATAATCAAAGTCCACACCGACCGTTTTACTCCATTATGTTTTGCCGAACCAGCAATCTCTGCCTCTCTTCAAGTAACACGCTGCTTTCTCAGATATGTCAAATTCTATTATTCTTCCACCCTGTGTACACTGCCCGTTCCAAATACATTGCTGCTGCTGTCTGTTAGGGTCTTTCAATAAATTAATAGAGGTTAAACGGGGATCCTCTTAATTGAGAGGTAAATTAGATCATAGAAAGAGCAGAATATATACAGCATCTAGCAGTTGCTGAGATTAAAAACCGTCTAACGCTGATCGTCCAACATCGCGCGGCTTTTCTCCAGACTTCGTGAAACTTCGGGAAATATTTGTCTCCTTTATACATTAAAGCATTAGATGTCCAGATCGATTTCTAAAGCAATATTTTCCTTAAAAAATGACAAAATTCTATTCAAGTATTAACATCATTTTTGTGAGTTGACAGTCTATTCAATTTTCAGATTATTTCAGAATAATTTTAAAAATACGAGTTGCTGTGCCATTTGAGTCTCTCAGAAATGAGCAGTTGCTGGGTTAGCTTCAAGTGGTTTAATGTAATGTTGTGGAAATGAATGCTGCATATCCGAGATATCCTGCTGTTGGCTGAACTCTTGTTAAGTGTTATCGTTGTTTAACTTTATTTTGAATTGATAAACGATTAAAAATTCTTGTGTAAACGATCACTTGTCTGGCTTCTGAGCAGACGACCGCGGGTGTTGTGACATTATGAAGAGCTAACCGGGACTTGGCTCAGGTTACTTGTACTTCTCACTACCACTATATCGACTTTTTCTCATTAAAAATATGATTCTTTGGTGCAAATGAAATATTTGGTGCGTTGCGGCACTTTGGAGGTATAGTAATGCTTTTTCGCTTATGACATATTTCCATATTACAACTGTTGTGACGGATTCATATGTTAGTGTAGTAGGACCAGTGGTGTTTGGAAGGATGGAAGTCCTTGACTTTCGTTAATGCAAGCAGGAAAATTTTGACAAAATTTTTACTCAATACTCGATTTTAGATTATGGAGGTTTTTGGGATTGCAATAAGACAGTTGCAATCCCAAAAAGTTTTTAAAAATGCCTTTGGTATTCTAATTCTTCGTGGTATATAATCACCTAAGGCAAACTTTTTTTAAAAAAAGAGTCGGCAGGGCCCGATAATTTTATGATTTTTTCTTTTACATAAGAGTGAGGAAAATGACCGGAATAAGTTGCTGCCATTTCGCTGTTGTATGAATATAAGCACTTTGTTTGGCACATTTTTTACTTAAATATTAACTGAGTAGTTTGATCTCGAGGTATTAAAAGTATTTGCGGAAGAATTTCTGTACAGCACTTCTGTTATCTGCCATACAGATATTTCTATAGTCATAATTTTAAAAAATACATAACCTCTACTTCAGAATTTAAATTGTTTGTTATCTTCCAGTTTATGTTGACAAATTAAATTGAAATCTCGAGTGTGCATACTCGCATGTTCTGATGCTAAACACTTCACTCGTCGCTATATGGAATATAAATTTATTACCATGAAATGAGTCCCAGGCGTTTTTTTTTTTGCATCTTCCATCAACTAGACGTTAGAAAGAAGTTAAATTTCACCGTGTAAGACACGAGATTCATTCCATAAACCTTTTTACCTGTGTAACTCCTCCGTATTCTTTAAATATTTCATCTGAAGCATAGTTCCCAGCCAAATTTATTTAAATATAGCTAGAACTGATATAACTTCGAGTAGTATATCCAATACACCGATTGCAAGAAAGCTAATAGTCGCTCTTACCGCCCTCCTGTTATGTGAATATGTGTATGTGTGCATGCATGCATGTATGTATCTGTGTGTCAACTTTCCTGATGTCACTACCCATAGTTCAAATCTGGATTTTCATTTTCCTTTGATATTTCAGAAAAGTGAAATATGGATTTGATGGGACAAACTAAGCTGATTAGTTGGCTGCTTGGTTAGGCTGCTCATTGAAGGCTCTTTGAGGCTTTATTGCTTGTTATTTGCTGACACAGCTTTCATTGACTTTGTTTTTGCCTTCCTAATAGCTGCAACTTAAGCATGAACATGCATATAAATTATATATATTATGTATATACATGGCTTTGGGTTGATATGGTATACGTGAGTGCGTGAAGAAACTGCATGTTTGGTTGTATTTGGCGCGTAGCTTGTATCACAAATAGTGAATGTATTGCTTGCTTGGTAATACACATAAATTTAGATATATATTATATATATATACGTATGTGCGCCTCTGTTTGTGCCTCCGAAACCTATTACTCGAAAATCATTCAATTTGGACAGGCAATTTTGCGGCACCCCAGAAGATTCATTGTTGGAAGGAACGCACTTCTCTCTTCCTTTGCCACACATTCATTGTGATCGATGTACCATCTGTTGGCAGGCTAGCCGCAGTCCCTGTAAGTTTCCGTTGACTGACAATCCTTTTCTTTGTTTCTGATATGTTCATAAACTTTTCAAGTCATTTCTGATATATACACATCCATTTATACCTGAATTGAGAGATCCGATAAATGGAAGCTGTGTTCCGAAAATGAAACAGGCAAACATTTCTCAGCTTTATGTCCTTACATTTGTTCCATTTATTTCCAATCTATTATTATCTTGTACACCGTATAACTAAGTTACATACAGTCAGTAGAATTAGCTGGTTTACTGATGAGTTTTAGGTAGAATTAAACTTCTCGCATCACTCACTATTTTCATGATCAAGTTTTATTTACTAGTTGACGCAAGTTCATTCTTGTTCCTCTTTTCGTCACTTTTTTTTATTGGTTTCTTCCAATTTGGTTCGGAATTTTTATTCTAAAAATTTCAGTAAATTTCAATAGACCATTTGGATTGCACGTTCTGATCACTGAAATTATTTTTCATATTTTCATATTCAGGTTCTGATATTTTAAAGTTGATTGCAGAGCGAACACGTTGCACTATATTTACTATCAATCAATCATTTGCAAGAGTCAGCTTCGTTAATGGTGAACAATATTAATAGATTGAACCCAAATAACTTGCAGCTTATCTGTGAATTTTGATGATCCATTAGTTTCGTTGAAATTTGCTCTTTTAATCCAGACATCTGATGATTGTTTTTAGTTGTGTTGTTGTCTTTAAATAACGAAAACAGTTATTATTTGCGTTGCTAAAAAAAAAAAAGAAGAGTGTGGATAGTCTTTTGAAATAGGTGGATAGTGGTAGAGACTTTATTTGCAGTATTTCAGTGTTTCACTAACTTGTTTCCCATTCGTTCCCATTTATATTTGATCCACTTCAAGCTCGGTAACATCCGATTTGGATGACTTTCACATACGGAAAGTCGCCGGTTCATTACACATTCATGGTGTTCATCTTCACTTGTTCTGCAGTAGTACGTCAAGGCCGTAAAAATTTATAAAAAATTGCTACTAATTAAAGGGAAATGAAATTTAAAAGAGCAGAAAAAATTAAAGAAATGCTTGTGGACGGACGATTTACCAGTACGATTGCGTTCTTTAATACATTTGATTAAACTGCTGAGCACTTTTCGATATCGTTCATCTCTTTTTCTACTTTCTTTTTCTTGGCAGGAGTCCTGTAGAAAAAAAGATTGAAGTATCGCAGAAACGCCCACAGCATTTCCATTACTTTGTCTATAAACAAGCTGGTTGATTCGAAATATTCATGGTACGAAAACTCTGAAATATCTAGGTCCTATATAAGGTTAAAAATTCATATCACCTGGCTAGGACCATCGTTTCTTGCAGCTTGATTAGGCTGTAAGAAGAGGTGCGATATTTTACCGAAGATCTTCATAGTCAGATTTAACTGCGTTTAAAGTTTCAAATTCTTCGTTTACCTGGAAAAGATCGAGAACTGCTCCTATTTCGTTTAGTGACACTTTTCCATTATATATGTTGATGTGCATTAATTAACACTTTGCTTTTTAAAAAGTGCATCAGTCTAATTTTTTCTTCTTTTAAAAAAAGCGTTGCAGATTTTTTCTCCTCAAATTTTGGTAGGAGGCAAAAAGAAAACGAAAAATTCGTCCTTTAAAGGATAACTGTGACACAATGACACTGAAGTTCTAATTGTGTGCAACGCCTTTCTGTGTTCCATCATAGATAAATTCTTATAGAGAGAAGTTGTCGTTTTGTGAAGTTTTCGAATCTAACCGTAGGATTTTGTATTGTCCTGATGTCTTTTTTTTTTTTGCAGATTTCTTTTTTTCGTTTTTCTTGCAAAATCACTGTTTTGAGGATGATGATGGGAAATTTATTAGAATATTGATTTGCAGCCTCGTAGTTGCCTTTATATTATAGTACTAGAAATAATTCAATAAATCGCAATTAGTAGTGTTGTTTGTTCCAATTTTTAATAAATGAAAAAGCTTGACCTTATGTCTTTCAAATCATTGTGCTGCATGCATATCTGTTATGCTAAAAGTGACAAAATACTGAAAATCCCTCAAACTTTTTTTCATGACGGTATTGATATTCTACATGGGTGATTTTGAGAATATAATGCTGGAAATATTATGATACCAATAATTATGTGACAATCAAAATGATGTGATGTGATCTAATACTAGTGATGAGTGGTCAGGCTGGGAGCTGTAATATTCCACTATTGAAGAAGAGAAATGATGGAAAAAGACGGGTTAAGTGAGAAAGGAAGTGATGATGGAGACGTTCAGGAACAGCCGATAATGATGCTACTATCATTTTTTGAAGATGAAGAAACCAAACAGAAATGAAAATTGTTTCAATTGCACTGCAATGTACTCTTATTTTCTTCTCTCCTTGTTCAACTCTTTCATTTCTCTTTTCATGTTTTTTTTTTTTTT